TGTAATTAGTATAATTATTAATTACAATACTATAATAAACGTGATTAAAAAAACGTGATTAATAAACGTGATTAAAAAAATAAGGGTATGACCCTCACAAATAAATAAATCTAATATATAATAATTAGTGTTGATAGAAATATAGAATTTAAAAATATAAATTTACAATCATATTTTAATAAAATTAAAAAATAAATAAATAAATTCATACTTGCAATGTGCGGTAATTGATAAAGTAACTTAAAAAATAAATTTTTACATGGTATAAGTTAGTGTTATTTTTCTCTCTTGAATATCCCATAGACTATTTTTTTATAATATTCAATAAATTAATATTAGTATTATTTTTGGCTTTTATTAATATCATATGAGTTATTATTTTTTTAAATTTTAATTAGCTAATAGCTAATATTAATCATATAATGAAATAATCCAATGAGATAATAGCCTAATAGTATTAGTCTATTTATTTTGATGTTTTGTTAAGTAAATTTAATTTTTTTTTGTAAAGTAAATTTATCATGTAATTTAATACCGACGCACACCCCTCTTATTCCTCTTATTGATGGCCCAGTCATCCCTACTTAAATATTAATCTATATGTTTATTCAATGTGACAATTGGGCTATGAGAATTGTCACACATCGAAGAGATGTGGGACGTAAAAGCCATATAAAATGGGCTCCAACAGCAATGATGGCAATAAGTGGTTGGGAAGTGGGTTGACATGTAAGATCCACTCAATTAACCGATAAGCTTTTGGAGTTATTCTTGTTCACTGAGTGTGTAGCACTTGTCTGCTAATTTGAGTGTTGCACTAGATAGTTCATGTGGTACACTCATTGAGACCTTCTCTATAGAGGTAATTTTTGTTGCTATAATTTGAGTGTTCACTGTTCATGTGGTTCACTCATTGAGACATTCTCTGTAGCCTGATTAACTGAGTTTGTAGCACTTGTCCGCTAATTTGAGTGTTGCACTAGATAGTTCATGTTGTTCACTCATTGAGACCTTCTCTATAACCTGATTCACTGAGTTTGTAGCACTTGTCTGCTGGGTTGATTGCTCAACTATTCATGCCACCTTATGTAGATACCCCATAGCACTTGTCTGCTGGGTTGATTGCTCAACTATTCATGCCATCTTATGTAGATACCCCAGTCGAGAGCACTTGTCTGTTGGTTGGATTGCTCAACTATTCATGCCCCATAGCACTTGTATGTTGGGTTGATTGCTCAGGTATTCATGCCACCTTATGTAGATACCTCATTCTTGACTGATGGAATTTCAGGAAACCGAATGACCCCATAATATCCACCATGAACCCTAAGACCACCCAAAGCCCCAAAAACTAGCCCCTTAACCCGCGAACAAGTCAAGAACTATCATAATGCACAAACCAAATGACCCCATAATATCCACCATGAACATTAGGACCATCCAAAGCCCCAAAAACTGCTAGCACCTTAACCCGTGAACAAGTCAAGAACTATCATAATGCATTAACCGAATGACCCCATAATATCCACCATGAACCCTAGGACCACCCAAAACCCCAAAAACTAACACCTTAACCCGCGAACAAGTCATGAGCTATCATAATGCACCAGAAAATCTAGAAGAAACAGTCTGAGATGACCCATCTAGCTTTTAGGAGCCAACACGATGATTGAAACAATCTGAGATGACCCATCTAGCTTCTAGGAGCCAACACCATGATTGGCAATACTAGCTCCGATGACCCATCTAGCTTCTAGGAGCCAACACCATGATTGAAATATGGGCCATCTAGCTTCTAGGAGCCAGCACCAAGACCAGTAGCTCCAGCTCTTGGGGCCATCTAGCTTCCAGGAGCCAACACCATGATTGGCAACGCCAGCTCCAATGACCCATCTAGCTTCTAGGAGCCAACACCATGATTGAAACATGGCCCATCTAGCTTCCAGGAGCCAGCACCATGACTAGTAGCGCCAGCTCTAAGGGTAGCAATGCCAGCTCTGGGGGTAGCAATGCTAGCAACACCGCAATAGCTTCCAAGAACACTCCGAAATAGCCAAGTGAGCTACCAGACTTCAACACCATGACTGGCGACGCCAGTGCAGGGGGTGGCAACATCACCATATGGGCTATACGGATAGGATTAGGACCCCCAATGTCATTGCTGGTAGGAGTGACATCATGAAAATGGTAGTTCAAATTATGGGCCTACAAACTAGATGTTGGGCCTCGAAATGCAACTGCAGAAGCTCATGATTACACTACGATAGGGGTAGTAGCAATTACGACATGACTAGCAACGCCAGTCTCTCGTTGGTCCATACTCCCACCCACATGTCAGACCTTAAAATACTTGAATCGCAATAGAAAGTAGCCATCATTATGCTGGCGATGGTAGTAACAATGTTGGATCCACGACAAACAATACCCATACCGATCCCAAGTAAGCATTGCCGATCATTAGCCATCTGACATGCTACTGCCCAAGATCACATCACTCATAATGAAGGGAGTCGCCTATTACATAATCTGTAATGACTTTGCCTCAACATCATCACTGACATCTCAATTTTAATAATTTGATGGCAATAAGGCTGGCCGTTGCTGGTGGCAATGTTAATGTGGCCACCAATAACATTGAGAATAGACAGTCCAGTTTCAATCATGGATTTTTGGCATTACTTAAGGGAGGTCTTGTCTATAAAGAAGAGGCATCCCAATATGGTTATACCAAAATAATCATAAAATTAAAAAAAAAAAAATGTCTTTAAAAAAATTTGAATCCCTCTCTCTTTTTCATTAAAAAAATAATTTCCCTCTCTCTCTCGTACTCCTTCCCTCTTTAGCCGTGCTTCTTTTTAGTTTCTCTCTCTCTTTCCCTCTTTTCTCTCTCTCCCGCCTTTCTCTCTCTACCCTCCTCCCTCTCTTCTTCCCGTAGGAGCTCTGTACCCTTTTCTTCTCTCCCCCTCCAGTTTCTCTCTTCTTCTTCTAATAACCCATCAAGGCCTCCACAAAAAAACACCTTTCTCATATTCTTCCCCAAAATCAACGACAAATCAAAGTTGATTCCTTCCAAGAATGGGATTTGAAGATCAAGAAAATGGCTCAGGATTTCTTCAGCTAACAAATCAAAGAGCAAATAAAACAACAAAATCAAAATCAAAATCAAGTATGTTGATTCCTTCCAAATTTTTTTTTTTTGTGAGAAAGTCGAATTTTTTTTTAAGTTATGAAAATCTAATCCCCCGATTTTGGGTTGCAACGAATCGGTTGTGGATTTTTATTTTTTTGAATTTTTAGGTTGTAGGTTTCATGAGCTCCTGGTTAAAAAAAAATGATTTTGTTTTTATTAATTATCCTTACTGGAAATCAATGTATTTTAGGTAAAAAATAAATGATTTTCTTTATAAGGTATAAAAAAGCCCCAGTCATATTTTTTTAGTGTGTAACCAATGAGTTGTGGTTTTATTTTATTTCATTTTTTTATGTCGTAGATTTTGTGAGCTT